ACGTCTTTCACGACAAATTGTCGATTTACTTCTTGCTCATTTACAATCTCAGGTTATTTTTCTTTTAATAGTCTCTGATTTTACGTTACTTTTTTTTTGTTCAAATAGGATCAATCACTTTTGGATATTTATCCCACACAATTAACACTATTTGATGTTGTCTCATCAGTTGCATTACGATCAATTGATCCATTTGTTGTTGCTTTTCGAGCATTAGTAAATAGATATGTCCGTTGTTTTTATTTATAAAATCTTCCTGTAGCTTAAAATTCTTTAGAATGTCAATTGTCAATCTACAAATCGATAGTTAGTCAATATAAATATAATACTTCGATATCTTGTACAAAATTTAACTGAAGATGCTATATTAACACGATAGAATGATGTTTTATTATCAGTTAATGAAACACGAGATGAAACTTTTAGTGCGTAAGTATTCGAAATGATTTTATTTATAATTTAAAAACTATTATTCTCGTTTTTGTTTTCAGAACTCTTCTTCGTGTTTTACATGACGTAATATTACGAATTTTAACTAATACTTGACAATTATGTGGTCAAATCAATATGATATTAGTTTCTCTTGCATCCGATTATCTTTATGTACATATCACCCATTAATTTGAAGATAAAACTTTCCTGCAATTCATTAATTGCTAATGACCTAGCGAAAAACATTTGACTTTAAAATTCCTATGCTAATATAAGATCTATGATTTTATTTTAGTTAAACAATTTCAAACAATTGTAAATGATTTTCATCAATTATGAATTCATGATGAAACTCTACATTGTCTTGAGACATTTTCATATTTAACTATTTTAAATGAATGTTTTAAATTATTATGATCATCATTTTATATCTGATTATTATTACAATGGATACATATTCTGAATATGCTTGATTATATACAAGAAGCATGGTGGTCACCAATATTAACACCATCATCATTAATTACACATTTATCTATAAGTAGTCAATTACAATCTTATTGTGATTTAATATATCATCATGAATTATATGTTGAACATTTTATATCAATAACAACACATTATCAATTATTATTATTTTTTTTTATTTGATCTTATACATCATACATCAGTTGCAAGTCATTTATTCGTTTGTGAAGGAATACATTTATATGAAAGTGGTCTTATATTAGTTTTATTAATTGAACAATTTTTTCCATTACCATTTAATAAACAATTATTACCTAAATATATACCATAAATTTTACAAATATTATCAATAAGAATATCAATCGATATTATTAAAGAAGATTTTAATAATCTTAATTGTCCTATGAATATAACAAGAAAAATTTATGAACAAATGCTTAAAAATGTAACTTATAAAAACTGATTACCATTTATGATGTCACCGGTATATTTTAGTTTAATTTATCGAAATAGATAAATATATATGTATACTAAAAATTTTAATCCAATTAAAAGAAATGTTTTTGTTTTTACTTTGACATTGTTTATGTGCTAGTAATAGATGAGACTTTTGAATAATTCAAAATTTCAAAAAATATTTTGAAATAGAAAATATGCAGAATTTCAGGTAATACAAATCGTAAAGGAAAGCATTTAAGCTACATTAGTACAATGACCGAATAATTCCTCTCGAATCTTATTGATCAAATTCTCAGTCGTGCTATTTGTACTATTACAATTAAAGAAAACGACGTCTTTCTAATATTATATTTCGAAATAAATTGCATTCGAGAATTTCGATAAACTTTCTGTAAGTTTGAACTCGTGAACTCCGAAAACGTATTGGATTTTTTCCACAGCATTAAATTTTTAGGATGATTCTTATAGTAAATGAAAATTAATTTGAGAAAAATAAGAAACAATATAAATCTGTTCTTTGTTTGTTTTCCTAGAATTTTGTATAGTTATATCAAATGAAACAAATTAAAATGACATTGAAACAACACCTAATACAATTTATGAAAAAAGTCTTTTATCATGCTTCTAATAATCAACCATATTCAATTGCATTCATAGATTCTATATCAATATATTTTGATAAAATACAAAATCATGTTGAATTAACATGTCAATTTTCAACAGGTGATATACAAGATTGATTACGTTTTATAATATTTATATCAGAAATAATTTATATAAATATATTTAAAAAAAAAAGCATCATTTCTTAGTTATGAAATAGATCAAATAATATCATGTTGTACGTTACCGAAAATACTATTATCAATATTTGAATATATTTATCAACGACATGGTTTAACTATATCAAATATATTATAATCATATATTAATTTAATTGAACCAGATAAAAGATCTTGTATTCAATTATTACTTTTATTATTTAATGATCTTGATCATCTTTATTATTTAACAAGAAAAATTAAATATGTATATACATATCATATATTTATTGACATGATTTATATTGTATCAAAGAGAAAATCTAGTGTTTCTCTGACTTTGATTTGATATATAATACATGCAAACTATCTTATTTCCGTGTCTCCTTGATTGCGGGCAATTTTTCTTAATTGGAGGAAAAATATGTCCGCAAAGTAGAATCAGGGGGTATAGACAAAAATGACCGCATTTTGAAAATTGTCCGCAAAGCAGAATCGAGGCAGAGAATGAAAATGTCCGCATTATAGAATCAAAAAAAAAGTAGAAATAGTAAGAAAATTAGTACAGACAAATCGATTCTATCGACGCTAATCAGTAATGATTCGATTAGAACAGGAACACGCACAACAACGAACAACTCGTCCAAAAAGGTTAACTTCAGTTAATAATGAAAATATTTTAGTACAAGCAACAAAAGATTATTTAAATGGTCTACTAGATTTAGATGATTATCAAAAAAGACTACGTTCTCTTTGTTACCGATACATTCACATATTGGATACATCTGACAAAGATGACGAAGATTATGAACCAAAGCATAGTTGAATGTTGAATCATCTCGTACTACTTGTATCTTTCTCTTTCCTCACATAATAAATTTTTTCTTGATTCTATAATGCGGACATTTTCATTCTGTGCCTCGATTCTGCTTTGCGGACAATTTTCACAATGCGGTCATTTTTGTCTATACCCCTGATTCTGCTTTGCGGACATTTTACCTTAATTGGTTAAAAAAAGTGTCCGCATTGTAGCTGTAGCCCTTATTTCATAGAGATAAAAGTTTATATCAATAATTTCAAATAAATTCTATCAATCAAAAAATTAGAGTATGAACATTTTCTTTGCTGGCATCCATCTTTAAAAATATATAATTTAGAGTTTATTTGATCGATTATTTTTTCATCATGGTTTTGATTTAACATTATCATTACAAATTCTAATTGAAATATATGTAATATAAATTAATAGGTTCAATTATATATCTATCGGATTTATTTACATTATCATAAAATTTATCAAAATTATATGATGAATATTTTTGTACATGGTTTGATGAAGATGATTTAATAATATCCTTAATAAGTTATAATTTATGTAAATCTAGTATATTACTTGGACAAACAACAAAAGAATATAATGAATTATATATACATTTAATTGAACGTAATTATAAATTAATAACTAAAACTCATGCATATGCATCATGTTTATTTTTACTTGAAATTCATGAAGCTGATTTAAATTCATATGATATTTGATTATCATTAATTAAAGATGATAATTTAATACAAAAAATTATATCAATTAGTCTTGAAAAACTTTTAATAGTTGGTCAATATCCCAAAAATGATATATAGTGTTAATACTTTCACGTATTTATACATTATTACAACGACCAAATAAAAATACAAATTCATTAAATAATGAACATGTTAATAAAGAACAAACAATAATTGATAGTTCATCAATAATATCATCATCAGATAATATTCTTATTGAACTTGTTGAAGAATTATATGCACATACAAAACAATCATCAACATTACCATATGAAGCTTTACTTTTATTATGTCCTTTATCATTATTACTTGCACACATTAGTTTTTTTTTCGTGCTTTAATTAATGCACGTTATTCAGCTAAAATTAATGAATGGACTTTATTATCAATGACAAATATTGCACAAAGAAAAATCACTATGTACGGCTATATGGGGGTTAACTTGTCTTATGTTAAGTGCATGTCTATCACAGGGTGTGGGTATGGATGAAGACAAGACCTATAATGATATCCACACCCACACCATCTTA